CGCCGCGCCCGCCGCCGCGGTCGCCGCGCCCGCCGCGGTCTCCCCTCCCGCCGCCGCCGCGCCGCCGGCCGGGGACCCCCGCTACGCCAAGTACGTCAAGATGCTCGCGATGCACGTGCCCCGCGGCGCCGTCGAGGCGCGCGCGCGCCCGCGCCGAAACGGAACCCTCGACGCGACGTCGACGCGCGCGCGTTCGGCCGTCTCGCTGGTACGAGTGCGACGCGGGCACGTGCTCCGTCGTCGCGGGCGAGCCATGTGCGGAGCGCCCGAAGCACTCGGAGTTCCGGAGGAGCGCCTACGACTCGGACGAGACGCGGCGGCGCCGCTTCGCGCGCGCGCTCCACGCCGAGAACGTGACGAGAGGCGACGACTCGTCCGAAACTCAGCCACGTCGACCCGCGACCGAGCTCGAGAGTTTCGAAGTTTGGTCGGGGCTCCCCGGATCGGCGGTCGATTCCCACCCAGGCGCGCGCGCCGACGGCCTCGACCCCGCGGCCCTCTTCGGCGGCGCCGCGCCCGCGGCGCCCGCGGCGCCCGCGGCGCCCGCGGCGCCCGCGCGGCCGAACCCGGCGCCTCGCGTGCCCATGCGCGCGCTCTTCTGGTCGAAGATCGACGCGGCCGCGGCGTCGGCGACGGTGTGGCGGAACCTGAGCGACGCGGGCCTCGACGTCGACGTCGACGCGCTCGAGCGCGACTTCCGCAAGGAGCGCGCCGCGCGGCGGGCCTCCGAGGCGCCGTCGGGCGACGGCGCCGCGGCCGGCAAGCGCGTGGGCCTCGTCGACGCGCGGACGGCGCAGAACGTCGCCATCGCGCTCGCGAAGCTCCGCGTCGCGCCCGCGGCCGTCCGCGCGGCCGTCCTCGCGTGCGACTTCGAGGTGCTGCCGCCGCACAAGATGGAGCTCGTGCTCGGCGCGGCGCCGTCGGCCGAAGACGCGGCGGCCTGCGCCGAGTTCCGGGGCGACGAGTCGCGGCTCGAGCCCTGCGAGGCGTTCTTCCGCGCGCTCGGCGCCGTGCCGGACCTCCGGGCCCGCCTCGAGGGCCTCGTCCTCGCGCACCGCTTCGACGCCGCCGCCGAGGCCCTCGACGGCCGGCTCCGGGCCGTGACCGTCGCCTGCGAGGAGGTGTCGCGGTCCGAGGCGCTCGCGCGGTGGCTCGAGCGCGTGCTCCGCCTCGGCAACTACCTCAACGGCGGCACGCGCCGCGGCGGCGCCCTCGGCTTCCGGCTCGACGCGCTGCCCAAGCTCGCGCAGGTCAAGAGCTCCGCGGACCGCGCGGACGCCACGCTCCTGCACCACCTCGCGGCCTGGGGCGGCCCCGGCGACGTCGCGCGGCTCGCCGCGGACCTCCCGGGCCTCGAGCCCGCGGGCCGCGCGGGCCTCGAGTCCTGGGACGGCGACCTCGCGGACCTCGCCGCGCGCGTCGCCGCGCTCGGCGGCCAGCTCGCCGCGCGCGCGGCGGACCCCGCGCCGGGCTGTGCCCTCGTCGAGTCCCTGGGGCCCTTCCGCGACCGCGCGGCGCGCGCGCTCGACGACCTCCGGCGGCGCCGCGCGGCGACGGACGGCCGCTTCGCCGCGCTCTCGGCGTCCTTCGGCGACGACGCGGCGGCGCGCGGGCCCGCGGCGTTCTTCGGCGACGTGCGCGCGCTCGTCGACGGCCTCGCCGCCGCCGCCCGCGACAACGCCGCGCGCGACCGCGACGCCGAGCGGCGGCGGCGCCGCGAGCGCGCGGGCGACGGCCGCGCGGCCGCGCGCCGCGCGTCGGGCCGCCGCGCTCGACTCGCTCAAGGCGGCGACGGCCGCCGAGGACGTGCTCGCCAAGCTCCAGGGGCCCCGGCGCCGCCGCGGCGACGGCCGCGGCGCCGCGGCGCCGCGGACGAGCCGCATGTCCGACTTCATCCGCCGCGCGGCCGCCGCGCCGCCGCGGGACGCCGCCGCGCCGCCGCCGGCCGCCGCGCCGCCGGCCGCCGCGCCGCCGGCCGCCGCGCCGCCGGCGCCGCCGCCCGCGGCCGCGGCGTTCGACGGCCAGGCGGAGCTCGCCGCGCTCGCGTCCCTCCGGGGGCCCCGGTCGCCGAAGAAGGGCGGCGAGCTCTTCGCCAAGCTCGCCGCGAAGCGCGGCAAGAAGAAGCGGCCGCCGCCGCCGCGGCCCTAGCGCGCGCGCCGTCGCTTACGCGTGCGGGCCTCGGCTTGCTCTAGAGCTCTCCCCCGGCCCCGGCCGCGGGCTCGTCGTCGGGGGCCTTGTAGTCGAAGTCCGCGGCGACGTGGCCCTCGTTGTCCGCGAGCGCGGGGTCCGCGCCCGCGGCGAGGAGCTTGGCGACGATGGCCTCGTGGCCCGCGAGCGCGGCCGCGATGACCTCGAGGTTCGAGTCGGCCGCGACGGCGGACCCGCCGCCGGGCGCGCCGCCGACGGCCTTGAGGTACTTGGCCTCGAGCGTCTTGACCTGGTTCTTGCCGTTGTACGCGAACATGAGCGCCGTGTGGCCGTCGCCGTTGCGCGCGTCGACGGCCGCGCGGCCCGCGAGGAGCGCGTCGAGGACGGCGCCATGGCCGCGGACGGCGGCGGCCATGAGCGCCGTCGTGCCGTCCTTGTCCGCGCCGTCGAGGCCCGCGCCGGCCGCGGCGAGCGCCGCGACGAGCGAGTCGACGACGGCGCCGTGGCCCTCGGACGCGGCGGCGATGAGCGCGTCGACGCCCTCGTCGTTGCGCGCGGCCGGGTCCGCGCCGCCGGCGAGGAGCGCGTCGACCGTCGCGTTGAGGCCCTTGTGCGCGGCGTTGACGAGCGCCGTCGAGCCGCGCGCGTCGGCGGCGCCGCAGGCCGCGCCCTTGGCGACGAGCAGCGCCGCGAAGGCCTCGTTGCCCGCGGCGACGGCGTCCCAGAGGAGGTTGTGCGCCACGGCGTCGTCGTCGACGAAGCCCGCGTCGTCGGGGTCCGCGCCGCGCGCGACGAGCTCGTAGGCGACGTCGCCGTGGTTCTTCTGCGCGGCGTTCGCGAGCGCGGACATGCCCTCCTCGTCGACGGCGCGCACGTCGGCGCCGGCGTCGAGGAGGAGCGACACGCAGGCGAGGTGGCCGCCCTGGGCCGCGACCTGCAGCGCTGTGACGTCGTCCTTGTGCGGCTCGACGTCGGCGTCGCCCGCGGCCTGGGCGGGGACGGGGTGACGCGACGTCGCTTCGACGCGTCGCGCGCGCGCGCGGTCCGGAAGGCGCGCGCGCGCGCCGAGGCCGCTCCGGGGGACGATCGCTCGTCCAAGCATCGGCCGAGGCGAGCGGACGCCGGCGGAGATCGGAGCCTCCGAAGTCGGCGCGTTCGCGCGCTCGTCCCGCGCCGGGAGCGGCGAGGCGCGCGGCGACGGACGCGACGTAGCCCGGCGCGCCGGCGACCCGGGCGTTGACGTCGCCGCCGGCGTCGATGAGGAGCCGCAGCGTCTCGAGGTGGCCGCCGGCGGCGGCGAACATGAGCGGCGTGCCGCCGCTGTGCGCCGCGCGGTCGAGCTCGGCGCCAGGGACGGCGAGCAGGAACGCCGTCGCGTCGCGCATGCCCTGCGACGCCGCGGACATGAGCGCCGTGACGCCGTCGTCGTCGACGACGAGGGGGTCCGCGCCGTGCGCCATGAGCAGCTCCATGACCTCGACGCTGCCCGCCGTCGCGGCCTCGAGGAGCGCCGTGCCCTCGTGGTGGTGCCTGGGCGGAACTCGAATCTTCGAGCCGACTTCGACGCGCGCGTCGTCGAACGGTTTGGACCAGACTCTTCGGCTGCGCTTCGAGAACTCGACGAGAGCGATCGATTCGTCCAAGCATCAGCCGAAGCGACTCCGATTCGACCGAGCTCGAGCATCGCAAAGTTTGGTCGGGACGTCCCGAACCGGCGGTCGAGTTCCGCGCGGGGCGGCGCGTCGCCGCGACGTCCGCGCCGCGCGCGACGAGCAGCGCCGCCGTGGACGCGTGGCCGCCGGCGGCCGCGTACATGAGCGCGTCGACGCCCTCGTCGTGGCGCCTGCCGACGTCCGCGCCCGCGTCGAGGAGCGCGGCGCAGACGGCGTCGTGGCCGCCCGCGGCCGCGACGATGAGCGGCGTGAAGCCCGTCGCCGACGTCGCGTCGACGTCCGCGCCGGCCGCGAGGAGCGCCGCCGCCGCCGCCGCCGTGCCGTTCTCCGCCGCGTTCATGAGCGCCGTGAGGCCGTCGCGGTCGGCGGCGGCGACGTCGGCGCCGCCGCGGACGAGCGCGGCGACGACGGCCGCGTGGCCGCCCGTCGCCGCGGCCATGAGCGCCGTGATGCCGTCGCTCCGCGCGTTCGACGCGTCGGCGCCGCGCCCCAGGAGGAGCTCGGCGACGGCGAGCCGGCCCTCGCCCGCCGCGAGCCAGAGCGCGGTCACGCCGCTCGCCGCCGCCGCGTCGAGCGACGCCGGCGCGGCCTCGAGGAGCCGCGCGGCGACGTCGGCGTGGCCGCCGATCGCCGCCTCCATGAGCGCCGTGATGTTGTCCTTGTCGCCGGCCGCCGGGTCCGCGCCGGCGCCGAGGAGCTCGCCGACGAGCGCCGCGCGGCCCTTGGCGGCCGCCGCGACGAGCGCGGTGAGGCCGTCCCAGTCCCGCGCGTCGACGGCGACGCCGTCCCGGAGCAGCTCGCGGACGCGCCGCTCGTCGCCGTCGCCGGCCGCGCCGACGAGCTTCGCGCCGTCGCCGCCCATGGCCTCGACGTCGGCCGCCGTCGCGAACTGGAGCGACAGCGCGACGTGCGTCTTGAGCGCGCACCGCGCGACGCGGGCCCGGAGCCCCTCGCGGACGACGCAGTTCTCGCCGCCGTCCTCGCTGAGCGCGTAGCCCGCCTCCGCGTCGCCGACGATGTTCCACCGCGTCGCGCCGCAGTGCTTGCAGTTGCCGAGCCGCAGCGCGGACTCGGGCAGGTCGCAGCTCGCGCGGTCGAGGCACAGGTCCTCGTCGACGTCGTCGACCTTGCGCTTGTGGATGCTGTAGGCGCCCGCGCTGCCCGTGACGTACCAGAGCGTGTCGATGCCGCAGCGCTTGAAGGCGCCGTCGCCGAGGCAGAGGCCGTCGGCGGCCGCGTCCTGCAGGAAGAAGGACGGCGGTCCCGACGCCTTCGCCAGGCGCGTCTCCCGCCCGCGCGCGACGCCCACGACGCCAACGACGCACAGCGCGACGAGCCGGCGGTGCACCGAAACCATGGCGGCGAGCACGGTCGCGGTCTGCTGCAACCCTGAGTCGGGCGAGCGGCGCAAAGACGAGTCGTCGAAAGTTTCTCCCCGGACGACGCAGACGGGCGCGCATCCCCTCCAATAAATTGGTCAACTTTTGTTGAACTACTTAAAATTTACAAATATTCCCGTCGGCGTGACACCCGAGGTCGCACTTCCTCGCACTTCCTCGCGCGCGCGCGTCCGGCCGCGCCCGCGCCCGGCCGCGGCGCCCGGCGCGCGAGGCGGCGGGGGCGAGCTCGCCTTACTCGGCCGGCGTCACGGCTCGCGCGGCGGCCAGTCCCAGGACGTCGCCCCAGTCTCGGCGTTGTAGTAGTAGGTGCGGCCGGAGCCGGCGTCGGTCGCGGCGGCCCAGGCCGCGTAGGGCTGGGCGCCGCCCGCCGGCGCGGGCGCGCCGGCGCCGCCCGGCGCCGCGACGTCGCAGGCGAGCGAGTAGACGATGGGCGTGTCGACGGCGCCGTCGCGGAGGTCCGCCTCCCAGGCCGCGGTGAGGACGTCGCCGGGCCGGACGCGGACGCCCGGCGCCGGCGCGAGCGGCGGGAGCACCGTGGGCCAGTGGCTCCGCCGCATCTCGCCGCGCGGCCCCCGCGTCTCGTAGGTCCGCTCGCCGCCCGCGTCGAAGACGAGCCGCGGCCAGAGCGCGACGCCCGTCAGCGTCGTCGCGACGTCGCGCGCGAGGTCCGCGACGTCGTACCCGTTGGCCTCGACGGCCGCGCGGTCCGGCTCGAGGAGCCCCGCGAAGTGCGCCTCGTTGGCGTCGACGCGCGCGCCGTCGACGGCCCACGCGAGCTCGGACGCGGGCGGCACGGCGCCGCGCGCGGGGAGCGGCGCCGAGAAGACGATGTCCTCGACGAGCAGCGGGTCCGCGAGCAGCCGGAGCGTCGCGTCGTCGGACTGGACCCGGAGCACGGGCGCGCCGGGGTCCTCGACGCCGCCGCCGTGGTGGCACAGGTCCGTCGCGGGCGCGCCCAGGGTCTGGTACGCGTGCGGGATGTAGCTCGACGCGTCGTCGGGCCGGGCGAGGAAGCGGTCCCGCGCGTCGCGCATCGTCGCGTAGCAGCCCTCCTCGCTCGCGATGGACCCCGCGATCTCGAAGATGACGAGGTCGACCTTCTCGGGCAGCGCGACGTCCGTGCTGAAGCCCTCGAGGACCTCGACGACGCTCTCGGCGAACTCGCGGCCGTACTTGGCGGCGTCGCTCACCTCCTTGCGCGCGCGCGCCGCGCTCGCGGGCACGGCCTCGATCGCGTAGACCTTGCGCGCGCCGAGCCGCGCGGCGGCCTTGGCGAAGAGCGCGAAGGGCCCCGTGCCGAGGTCGAGGACCGTCGCCGTGCCCGGCGGGTAGGCGGCGAGGCGCCGCTCGAGCTCGTCCAGGAAGAGCGCCGTGCGCGGGCCGTCGTTGACCATGGACTGGTAGTGCTTCAGGTCGAACTCGATCCACGCCTCGTCGGCCGTGCCGAGGTCCGTCGCCGTCCACGACACCTCGTACTCGGCGTGCGCCGCGAGACGCGGACCGGGGTGGAGGCGTACGACGCGCGGGCGGTCGTAGCAGGACGCGCGAAACGCCAGCAGGACGAGCGCGAGGCGGCGAGCCGCGCAGCCTGCGAGACGAGGCCGCGCCATGTCCAACCGGCAGCCGCTCTCCCTCGCCATGCCTCCCCCCCTGGAGCCCGATGCGGGGCCCATTCGCCTGAGCGTCCTCGAGGACAAGTCGACAAGTCGCAGGTTAAGGTGGTCGATGTAGCCTAGCTCGCGATTGCGATCCCCAACAAACTCGAGGACCTCTTGCTTGGCAGCATCTAGATCAATTTTTTCTTTCCAGCACGGCTTCAGCTCAGCAAAGCAAACTCGCGCTGCGCGCGACGCAAAATCACGACCGATCTTCGAAACAGCATTCGCCATGCTTCGCATATCTTCGGACAACAACGCATGAAAGCTCGGCAGCAGCTTGGGATCTTTCGAAAGAAGCAAACCCCCTCGTTCCCTCTGGACAAATTCGCATTCCTTATAAACAAACTCCCATGACTCGTCGAATTTCCCTGCGTCAAGGAAGGCGCCGATAAATTCGACCATCTTCGGATTCATCGCGCTCTTCTTGCTAGGATTAGTGCTCTCTGTGCTGAATCTAATCATGACAAGCTTCCACACCTGGCGATATAGCGATGACCACCAATTACCTCTGTCAGTTTTTGAACCGTGAAATACGCGGCAGCCCGCCGCCGGCCGCCCCGTCAAGCCGTCGACATCGCCATCATGATCGTCTCGTAACAGCGGCTTCCCCGCTATCAATTTCGCGGCTGCCGACTTAAAACATAAAACACGCGCATCCACGCAGGAGCGAATGCCGAACTCCACCAGGTGGCTTACCAGCCAACGAGTAGCGCCGTATGACCCACCGAGTTCGCGCACGTAGGGCAGCAGAAAACGATACTCATGCTTGAAAAGACCCACACCACCAATAGTGCTCGTCTTGATTCCCTCCCTTTTTGTTTTAAATTTTTCAACAACAGCCGACTTCACGGGGGCTTCCCCACTGTCATCGTGAGTGACACCCTTTCGACTCCCCATCTCCCACGCTCTCAAGCGGTCCAGCCGCTCCTTCGCCTCCTCGGTCCTCGCCTCGCCATCGCCGGCCACAGTGACCGGGGCTTCCTCGTCGCTGGCGCCCGCGACCGCCAAGGCGTCCTTCTCGCGCACTTCCTTTTGCCTGCGCAGACGCGCGGAACGCCGCGTCGGCGCAACATTATCGCGTGAGTGCGTAATCTTCCGACTTGGTTGCTTTGTCTCCTCCTCCGGCACGCTCACGTCGATTGGAACGATATCGAGAAGTTGGAGAACGACACGGTTCTGTTCAGTCTTGATGTTCCTGGCCCTCTCATAATCCGACACCTCTGGACCGGCAGAGGCGATCGCGGACGAAGACCCCGCGGCGGCCACGAACACCGATGCGAGCTCCGCCGGATCCACACCATGCGACACCGCACGCTTGAAAACGCGCAGCACCACGACCCGGCCTCTAGCGTCCGCAGCGAACACGAGTTCCTTTGCCAGCCTGACGGCGACATCCGCGAACCGCGCACGACGCTCGCGCGCGGCGTCGCTCGCGGCGTCGTAGCGCGCTTCAACCTCTTCGAGCAAAGCAAGGACCTCGGGCGCGCTCGCCGCGTCCACCGCGAGCCGCGCGAGCTCGTCGAACCGCTGGCGCGACATGCACGCGTCGAGCCAGGCGACGTCCTTGATGGCGAGCGCGTGGAGCGCGGGCCAGACATACAACGCCGCGGACGGCGCGTCGGCGCGGCGGCCGCGCGTCGCCGCGGTCCAGAACGTGAATAGCAGCTCCGACTCGCGGTCCCAGGCCCCGGCGAGCGCGGGCCCCAGGAGCTCGGCCTCGAGGCACGCGCCGAGCTTCGCGGCGCGCCCCAGGGTCGCGAGCGCCCGGAGGTCCTCGGGCGCGCCGTACCTCGCGCGGACGAACGCATCGAAGAGCCCGTCGTCGTTCTCGGCGCGCGACGCCAGGGCCCGCGCCCGCGCGGCGTCTAGAACCGCGCCGTCGAGGCCGGGGACGAGGACGCGCTGAAACGCTACGACCGCGACCGCGCCCAGGCGCGCCGCGGCCGCGCGAGCCTTCAACACGAGCGAGAGCATGAACCCGACGTCGAGCTCCACCCCTCTCGCGAACGCGTCGAGCACCGCGTCCAGCAAGTTCCACGGTGCGTGCTCCGGCGGCGCGTGCCCCGCGTGCGCGTACTCCGGCGGCGCCCCGGACGGCGGCACAAGCGGCACCGCCTGCCCCGGCGCCACCACGTGCAGAGGCGGCACAGACCCTCCCGCCGCGGCTTCGTCGTCCGCGTCGTCATCCGGGGCACACAAGAGCCCACCGAACTCCGCGCCGAGTGCACCCCCTTCCTCCACGGACACCGGCTCCGGGACCACGGGCGTCGCGGGATGAGCAGGCGCCACGGCCACGGGCACCGCGGACAAAGAAACCAGCGGCGCGGCAGCTTCCGTCCCGGGCAACACGGCCCCATCGCCACCCACCGGGGCGGACCCCGTGTCCAGGAGCGACGCGTCAACGGCCCGTCGCAGAGCAACTTCGTCGGTGAGGAGCTCCCCCGAGTCGTCCTCCGCGTACTCGTAGACTTCGTCGTCGGATGCCGTTTCACCATCGCTGCCGAAGACGATCGAGTTCAGATCCGCCATCTCGGTCGCTTGCGCCACCACCCGGCCCCAAAGTTACTCCACCCAACCCATCAAAGTATCCGAGTATCCGCCAAATCCTGGTGTGCCTAAATATTGAAAAATTTCCCACCGCCCCCCCACCCCCGAGGGAGGTGAGGGGGCGGGGGAAAG